CTCCATCAAAGGCCACTAGTGAAAGGAATTGATCTTTATCCCCGGACATGTGTCTTGAGCAACCACTGTCCAAATACCAATAGGTGTCTCCCTTCACTCTAGCCTGCAAGAGCAAATCAAACATTAGTTTTAGGAACCCAAACATACTTGGGTCCCTTTTCAACAACATTAACATCTTGTTGATCCTTTCTTCTCCACACATATTTTACACCCTTGCTGTTCTTATTAGCACTAATTTTCTTAGCTGGACATTCATGTATCTTATGTCCATTTTTACCACAATGAAAACACACATGCATCTCTTTAGTCATGACATACTTGCCTCGTTGATATTCTTTGATCCAGGTGGTTTCTCTGGGAGACCAGTTAGTCCTGGTTCTCTGTCTAGTATAACCAAGACCAACTTTTCCTCTGTTTCCTCTTGATGAAGTCAGGTAATTTAAGGATTCTTGAGCATTCAATAATTTGTCCACATGTCTATGACTATCATTAAGTTCTTTTTCTCTGGTTTCAAGTGTTTTAGTTAACAATTCGTTTTTCTCTTTAAGAAAATCAAAGTTACTTTTTAAAGCTTCGAATTGTAGATTAAGTTTTGAAACCATAGAGTCAATAGACATGTCAACAGTCACTGGTTGCTTGTCCTTTTTCAGTTGATTGATTTCCGCATGCAAATCACAAATATTACTTTCATACTTATCAATCGTATTACTGACATCTACACTGGTACCTGTAGGGGAAACAGTGAACTGTGCAGCTTTAAGTGAAGCAATTTCCTTGTGAGAGTTTTCCAGGTTGTAAGCCAATGTTTCAAAGGCCTTCAACAAGGAAGTTCTAGTACACGAATTTGCTTTACTTATAGCTACTGAAAAATCAAGAGTATCACTAGTGGTTGATAAGTCTCTAGGGAACCAGGAGGTCAGATCCTCTTCACCATCAATTGGTTCAAACGATCTTTCCTTTTCTAGTTCCACTTTACACTTGTCCAATTCAACCTCTAGTTCTGCTACTTGATTTTTTAGTTCATAACAGACTCCTTCTAGATGATCACAACTAGCAATAGCAATATTACATTCACCACGTTTTTCTTTTAATTCTCTTTTGCAAGTTATGTATGTTTCACTTAGTTTATAGCATTCATCTAGTAAGGAATCAATACAAGCAAGCATATTTTCTCTATCATATTCATGCATATCTTCTCTAATTTGCTCTAAGCTTACCTTGCGTTCATGTAGTACATCCTTCTTTGCCATAAAGCATTTGTTGAATGTACTGGTTCCCCCTCTGGTTCCTGGACCAGTGCTGTTTTCCTTGATGTTTGTAAAGGCAGTTAGGCAAACATCTGAGTTGGGTGATCCTTCTTCCTCATCTGACCCTGAGTCAGAGTCTCCCCACATGGAAGCTATCATGGCATTCTTGTATGCTTGTTTATCTCCGGATTTAGACTGTTTGTCATTCCACTTAGGACAATCTCGAATAAGATGTCCTTTTTCTCCACACTTGAAACATCCTGTAGAAGAAGAATTAGAGTTAGATTTTTTATAGTTTTTAAAATGCTTACCTTTGAAATTCTTTCTTTGATCTCGAAGAGATCTCTCAAATCTTTTTGCAATCATGCTAATTTCATCTTCATCATCTTCTACTGTTCCCTTAAGCGCCATGCCTCTTGCTGGTTCCTTCTCAGACTTAGAGTCAATCAGCATCTCATGAGTCATAAGGGAACCAATCAGCTGTTCCAGAGACAAGGTAGACAGATCCTTTGCTTCATATACTGCTGTTACCTTGGCTGTCCATGCATCTGTTAAACTACGCAATAATTTTCTCACAAGATCCTCGTCAGATAAATTTTTACCAAGAGATCTAAGATCATTTACAATAGTCATAAACCTACGAAAGCAATCATTGATTTTTTCATTTTTATTCATGGCAAACAATTCATATTTAGACATGATTAAATCAATTTTAGACCGTTTTACCTCACTGGTTCCCTCAAACGCAAGTTCAAGGGTGTCCCATATCTCCTTAGCACTACTGCAGCCAGATATACGATTTGTTTCGGTCTCACCTATTGCTTGTTGTATTATTGACATTGCCTTAGCATTCTTCTCCAGCAACTTGTAATCAGCAGTGACCAATTCGCTATCTTTCTTGGGAACCTGGTTCCCCTCAACATCTGTCTTGAGAATGATATTAGGACCATTTTTAACTACGAGCCAGCATTCATAATCAATACCCATGATAACATTCTGGATCCTGTTCTTCCACCAAGCATAATTATTTCCATTAAACTTGGGTGACTTGTTGTCATAACCGATTGCACTTAATTCTTGAGTACTCATTCTTAACTCCTCTAGATGTTACTCTTTCGAGAAGCTTAGGCTCTGATACCAATTGAAGGTTCAATGGGCACTCAAGAGGGGGGGGGGTGAATTGAGTGTTAAGTAATCGTTGGCTAATTTTGCTTCTTTTCGGATTATGTGTGAGGAACCAGTTGTGCTGGTTCCCGTACGCAGCGGAATATAAATAAGCAATAAAGAAGACAACAAATTTAACGAAATAAAACAAAGCAATAAAGAACACAACAAATTTAACGAGGTTCAGCCAACTCAGGCCTACGTCCTCCTATCCTAAGTTCTTTATTAATCTACTCCGAAAAACAAAGACAAAGAACACTCTGCTGTTCCCTACTCCGGGAACCAGCAAACCCCACACTCTACTCCGAGTGTGCTCTCGACTTACACTCGTAAGCCCAATGTGTTTGAACTCACAAACACTCACCCAGCCTTTAACCCCTTTGTTAAAGACTCAATACAAGAATCAAGAACTCCCCTTTGATCTCACTTCTACGAAGCTAATTAAGAGAAAATATTTAAGTACTAGAATGCTCTTGTATATGACTTGATGAATGGGATTAGTGCTTAAGTATATGCTCTCAAATAATTGCTCTTTTGATTTCTGGAGAGGCACACGAAATATGTGAAATAAGATGAGTTTATATAAGCTTAGATTCCTAAAACCTAGTTTCCTTAAATCACACAATCTTAGAGAATAAGATATAATGTAATTTTAGGAAAGTTTTTATCTTATTTGATTTAATCACAAAGATAGAATCAATTAAGATAAATACTCCTAGTTTTTAGGTAACCAAGAATATTTCATCTTATTTCCAGCTGCACAAAATATTTTCAAAATAATCTTTTCGAAAAAATCTTTTTGTAAAATCTTTTTCCAAAACGGCAGCTCGAATACAGTGAACCTGGTTCCCCGACCTGGTTCCCTGAATTGAAACATGTTATGAAACCTGTTCCAACTTTGTACCAGATTTCATATCATACTTCAATATACTTTTAAGCACTTATATAACCCAAACATGCAAGCATACTACGGAGCATATTACATGAAAACCTAGATAACATATTAAAGCATAAATCGTCTTTTCTTCATGTAATCTTCAAGACTTGAATCTTCCTTGAATACTTCTATTATGAGCAAACAATCTTTCTTCGAAATATCTTCGAAAGGCTTCTATGCTCCAAGTCTTGGAATCAACTCAACTACTGCACATGTAACATGGTTAATGCACAATAAAGAGTATGTGACTGCTTTACCACGTAGCAACCATGGAAACAGTACATACTGGTTCCCTACCAGTACATAACACTTTTATCATATAACTGTTCCCTGTATAAAGACAAGTTAGTTCAATAAGAAAACTCATGTAAGTAATAACTTGTCTGGGGAAACAGTGTTCTATGTTAGCTGGTTCCCCCAACTGTATCGAACACTTTCAAGGACCTGTTTCCCTTAGCTGTTTGTCATCATTCAAAACTATCAATCAAAACCTAAGGGACTCAACACATGTTAATACAAAGTTGGCTTAAAATCAAAAATGAAATAATGAAGGACATGAGTAGGTCAAGTCCAAATTCAATAACCCTTGCAAGAGAAGAAACTGCAGCTCATAGCTCCAGCTATTTTGACTTATTAAGCCAAAATTTGAGTTAAAGTCCTACTCTTTTAGCAAAACATTTTCAATAAATTTTCCAAATTAGGCAATGATTTACTAACAATCCGGCCTACCACCACCAGGCCATCCTTGTTCTTATGGCAATCCAAAAATTAAGAAAGTAAAAACAAAGTGTGGTCCCTACCTAACTTCCTATAATCCTATACTATATTGCTGGAGGTAGTTGAATAGTTGGCCATGATTAAATTAATTAGTCATGTTTGTTTGAAATAATTGACCAAAGAAATTACTAGTATGTGTTTTCTCTTAAGTAAAAATTTATAAATTTGACATTTTATTGTGCCTTTTCTAGAGCATATTATATTACATTTAGCTTGGAATAATGATGTTCATTCTATCAAGATATTTGATGAGCATCATAGCATGATCGATACATAACATACATACATTAATATACCTTGATTATTACCACTATATATCTCTTTTTATGACAAAATCTTGTACGTAGTAATAATCATTTGCCTTTTTGGTTAATCACAAGTAATCTTTCAAATGCTTACATTTTGCACGCAGTGATTTATAACAAAATTTGTGCGAGACAATCATCAATACAACTTACAGAAAAATAAGTACTTAAATCTCAAATTTCAACACGTTAACCAACTTGGTTAAAGTCTAATAAGGGAGCGATGTCCAAGATTCAAGATCAAATCTTATCCATGACCAACTTTCTTACACCGAAAAGAAAATTCAAGGTTGTCATGCATGAAATAAAACACATTACATTAAGCTAGCCTAGCTAGCAGCTTTATCTATTATTACAACAAGGCAAATAACAATCAAGGTCATCGATCGTGCATGCAATAAAGTTAATTTCATTGGTAGAACTAGGGTTAGATAAAAACAATTTTTATTGTATGTTTCATTAACATGTACACCTAAATTTTAAGGCTTTAAGCCTTTAATTTACAGCAATTATAACACTTTATAAATACAAACTTCTTGACAACTCTTCCTCAAAAACATTACAGCAGTATTTTCGGGTGGTCCACTTTCTATGATCTTTAGGTGCAACCGTGAAAGTAGAGGGGAAATTGCAATTAATTAATATCATCAAACTCACTTCCTAGTTCTTAAGGCCTTTATATACTCCTATTCATAAACTTCAGTTCATTCATCTTATACTTGTTTGGGTTAAAAAGCTGGTCATTTTCTGTCAATACTAAAGATACATTATAATGGAAACTACATTAGCTATCTTCCTGTTTTTAACATTATTACTTTCATTTATGTCTTCCTTTGTTGTTGGTCAGAATGGTCCTCGGGCTTTCTTCGTGTTTGGTGACTCACTCGTGGATAGTGGTAACAATAACTTCCTTGCCACCACTGCTCGCGCTGATTCACCTCCCTATGGTATCGACTACCCTACACACCGTGCCACTGGGAGGTTCTCCAATGGACTTAACATCCCTGATATCATCAGTTAAGTTTCACAACATTTATGTTGCGTGTTATATTGTTAAGTCTTTAAGTCTTTGTGTTAGGCTAATGTGTTTTTTTTACTTCTTATGATTAGGTGAAAGACTTGGTTCACAACCTACATTGCCATACTTGAGTCCCGAGCTAACGGGGCAGAGGCTACTAGTTGGAGCTAATTTTGCTTCAGCTGGGATAGGAATCCTCAATGACACCGGAATTCAGTTTGTAAGAATCAACCAAATTTATGTCACATTCATATTGTTTTTGCAATTTCTTTGTTAGTATTGTCTTAACGCTATATGAAACTACTGATTGTTTTACATGGTAGGATTATATGACAAAATAACAGCTTTATTTGTGTAAGTATGAGCATGTATGTTATTTTCACTGACAATGTGGTAAGTACAAATTGATGAAAAAAAAGCATCCATGTTAGAAGTACTGCCTTGCTTTACATGGTCCAATTTCGAATGTGACAACTTTCTATTATTGGCTTACTGCATGGCTTATGTAGCCTTTGCTCTTCAATTATTGAACATTTTGCAGACTTGTAAGTCTCTCTAACCTAAGCTAGTTGAATGTACTATATTATATAGTCTATACAATAATGTATGATAAATGTAGTTCATTAATTCCCACGTCTCCATGAATGTACAATAGTTTGATTATACTATATTTGGAAAATTGCATAGATCTTTCATACAAAAAATTTGGTACTCTATTACTGAATGCCATTGTTCTTCTTGCTGGCTCATAATGTAGCATGTTTACTAGTTAAAAAAAATACTTGCTGTGATATGTAACGAAAAGGTCTCATAGATTTTCTTGTTAGACAATTACTGAAGTACTCGAAAAAAATAACTGATACTGCATTTTTTTCAGCTGAACATAATCAGAATCTACAGGCAGCTAGATTATTTCCGTCAGTACCAACAAAGAGTGAGAGCCTTAATCGGAGAAGCCGGAGCAAAACAACTAGTAAACCGAGCTCTGGTGCTGATCACCCTTGGTGGCAATGATTTCGTTAACAACTATTACTTGGTTCCTTTCTCAGTCAGATCTACCCAGTTCACACTCCCTGCTTATGTTGATTATCTCATACAAGAGTATAGCAGGATTCTTGAGGTGAAAACTAATCTTATTTTTATCTTATATAAACTAGTGTAACACAATTTTATTTGTTACATTTACCTGCAAATTGCAGTACTAAGCTGTCACATGAAAACATAAATGCTATAAATTAAAGCAAGATTACCAAATATATGCTTTTTGTTAATGTCACAGACTTTGTTACCACAATGCATTTTATGCATCCATGTAGAACTTTTTGTTGTTTACATTTATGACTATATTATGATAGTAGTTGCTAGATCCATGTTAAGATTTAGTACTTTTTATGTGATGTTTTTAAAGAACTATAGTTGTTACATGTTAAAAGTAAAAGTGTACAATGATCAACACACGTAAAATGAACATACTAGCTCACCATGCCAGCTCGATTAGCCAGATTAATTATTAGCCATTTTTTTTTTCACAAAAATGGACCGGACTAGCCCGTCTATTTTGTGACTCATTATTCCTGGTTTCTCCATACCTAGCAAGCCTAGCCTGCACGAACTGGTTGATGATTACCTCTATATATAAGCACACATATATACAAATTTTGATGCAGAATGGAATCATAGGTTTACATGCTTAATTACTTGGAATTAATGTTGCAGAAATTGTACGATTTGGGAGCTCGAAGAGTCCTAGTAACAGGGACTGGACCACTAGGGTGTGTACCATCAGAGATAGCACAAAGAGGCAGAAATGGAAATTGTGCAGAGGAACCACAAAGGGCAGCTGCTTTGTTCAATCCTCGACTTGTTGACATGATCAGTAAGCTTAACAACAAAGCTGGCTCGAATGTGTTCGTTGCTGCTAATGCATTTAAAATGCATATGGATTTCATTGAAAGCCCTCAATCATATGGTAATATCTCAAAGATTTTACTAGCTTTCTTTAATAATCCTTGAAGACATATATATGCCGTATATATAAAAATTCAGGGGATATATATATAATATAAGGCCTCTCAAGTAACATTTTTGGTTTTATGTAGGATTTGTGACATCAAAGGTGGCATGTTGTGGACAAGGACCATACAATGGACTAGGAATTTGCTCAGTGGTATCAAATTTATGTCCAAATAGGGATGCATACGCGTTTTGGGATGCCTTTCACCCAACAGAGAAGGCGAATAGGTTGATCGTTGAGCAGATTTTGAGTGGCAACACAGACTACATGCACCCCATGAACCTCAGCACTATAATGGAGCTGGATTCTAGAGTTTGATGAAGTGATAAGCTTATGTATCGTATCGTAATATCTATTTACTTTGCTAGGGAGAAATAGGTAGTCCTTGTTAAGTTATGCATGTCATGTATCATCGTATCGTATCGTAGTGATGAGTAATTTGTACGTTGCATGTCGGCCTAGTTGTGTTTGGGGGGCTAAGAGGAGTTTTTTAAATGGAGAAGACTAGAACTGTTTGAAGATGGTGTAACCTAATAAGTAATAGATGGATTATTATGTTCAAGAAAATCAAATCAAACTCCTTTTTGAATTTGTTCTCTTTATAGAATTGAAGGTTAATAAATTATGCATGGCAAAATTAAACTTATTAGCAAACTATGCAGCAAAAATGGTGAACCAATCCTTCATGCATGGTTGCGTGAACACGAATGGTAGATAGAGCTATGGATTCCAATAAATTCGCCTTCCTTACAAGATCTGTACATATCAACTTGCATTGATTAATCAACAAATTAATTGCAATTTGTGTAACCTATATGACCGTGACAATAGATTGATTAATCAACAAGTTAATTGCAATTTGTGTAACCTATATGACCGTGACAATAAATTAATGAATCAAGCTGAAAAAAACAATTTACTAGAAAAAATTGGCATGAAAAGTGAAATGAGGATCAATCTCGTAGAGTAGGTGGCTCATAACTGCAGCTCATGCAGATATCACTCCAGGTTCCAACTATTCAAACTAATCAACAATTGTCACAATTAATTAAAGCTAATTATCAAATTAAAGTCCTAAACTATCGGCAAAACCTCATTTAAGGGGTGTTCTAGTTTTAGGCAATGCATTATTATTAGCAATTCCATCATCTTTTTCTCTTATGGTAGTACTCCAATTAAGATGAAAAAGAATGGTCCCTATTCTATACTAACTTGCCGGAGCTATTTGAATAGTCGAAAAGTCTATCGAATCACCACCTTGTAATCTTATGGGCTACACTATTCCGGGTGCCTAACAGTGTTCTTCAATTGATCATTAATTAAAACCTTCTGTAATAGTGTTGGATTTTAGACTCTTGAGGCTAATGCAGAAGAAAGTAATTTGCATACTAGCTAGTCAAATTACTCATTTACTTTATGCTAATTAAGGAGAAATTACAGCTAATTTGTTCCTTTGTTTTCTATTGAATATGCCAAAAGGAAAATGGGTTTGTCAAGCTAAGAAGTCAAATAAAACAGATAATGCACCAGTGATGCTTGTTCATGCCCTTCATGGTTCTTAGACAATTATGCATATTGCACTAAGTAAGTACATATTGATCAATGATGAAAGTCAAATTTAGATATCAATTAACTAATTGGTCTCTCAACAAATGATCTAAGTAAACCTTTTGAATATCTTTGTACAAAGTTTCAAAGACATTAGAGCTGTCCTTGTTTGATTGTGACTCGAAATCTAGTAGGGCTGATTTTGAATGCATATATATCTCAAACTATAAATGATTTTGAGATGATTCAAATTGGAGGTGATAGCTTGCTTCAAGATCTTTCCAACGATAGGTCATATGTCTAATTCCAATAAGAAACGAGAAAGTTATGGCCATTTAAAGAAGAACTGACGCTGCTGGAAATATTGCTGACGAAGTACGCGACTAGGCACGTCCGTGCCTAAAAGAGGCACGCCCATGCCTAGTCGAAATTTCAGTTTTTTTGGTCCGGTTTTAGCTTAATTATTTTAGGAATAATTTCCTAAAATTATATCTTTTTCATGACGGCTATTTGAGTATACTTAGGGAACAATTTTAGGGTTTAATTAGGGTTTCCTTATGTTATAAAAGGACCCTTTAGTTGATCAATTCGATCATACCTTTTGAGCCATTAGACTCAGGACTCCTTGTATTATTCTCTCGTTCTTTCTCCATTATAGTGAAGAAGCTCTCGAATCCCCCACCCGTGGATGTAGGTCAAATTGAACAAACCACGTAAATCCTTGTGTTTTTTGTTTATCTTCTTTATTGCTTTTTTCGTTCTTATTTTTTCATTGACTTGTTTGATCAAACACAATTACACCCGTTTTTCCTACTAACATTGCAACTTTTATTTGTTGCTTTTCGTTTTATTAAACACCTATTTGACAATATAAATCCCATCATCCATCTTTTACGACCTTGCCCTAATGAACGGTAACTTTTAATGCACTTTTTTTTTTGTTTGTTGTTGTTGTTGTTGTAGATTATCAATCTATTGTTCTAATTTCTTTTTACTACTTGATGGTATTCATGGACATATGATTATGAGAAAATAAAAGTTTGTCACTTTGATAAATAAAAGATGCATATCAATAAGAAATTATGTATATGAGCTAACAATTTTTCACCAAGTAGGCAAATATAGCCTTTTAAATTTGTTGATTTTTTAGCTTACTTTGAGCAACTTAAATCTAGTTCTCGAACCATTTTAACAAACAAAAAAATGTCATATTGAGTGAATATTTTTGTTGATTCAGTTACAATTTTACCACTCTACATATTTTTTGTATTTTGTCCATCATGATGATAATAAAATTACTTGTTAAGTGATTTAATCCGATCCCAAAGAATTTGCATTTTTTAAAAAAAAAATTAAACAGATTGACAAATTTTTTGAAAGCAAGATTTTACTCTTTTTTTTTTTCCTTCTTTTGAGGGGTATAGAGTTACTAATGCTTACACTCTATTGTAGGTAAATATACCTACGCCCTCACCCCCCACCCCACCCCCACCCCCACCCCCACCCATTTACCTCTCTTCTAAATAAAGTCTCCAAAAAAAAAAAAAAACAGATTATATACTTGTATATATCACCATTGTTATAGCTTGATTCTATGGTTTTCTCTCCAAAAACATTCATCCTTCATTTTATCACCTTCAAAAAATTTCACTATCTCCATTTTCTCTCCAAAAACCTTCATATTCAATTTTCTCTATCTAAAAACCTTCATATTTTCCATCATAAAAGTTTAATCATCATCTATTCACGTCACCTCTTACCGGAGCTTCATTGTTGACGCAAATTCATTGATAAGGTATTAACTTCTCTCTCTTTTATTCATTTCAACAATTTGATATAATTTTTAAATGATGATTTGATTACTCTAATTTTTCCCCAAATTAATTGTCAAATCTTAGAAAGAAAACTTAATATATTGGTTGAATTATATCAATGTTTGATGTACTCTTGTGTTGAATTAGTTTATAATGTGTTGTTATATTATAAAATTATTAGACATAAAAAATTGGAAATAGAGGGCTAACTTTCTGGATTGTTTGATCTATTTCATCAGATTTTTGAGATGTAAATTTAGTTTACTGTGAAAAAATAATTTTTGAAAAATGTTCACTTTCGTTTTGATAGATGTTCATTAGCGTATTAGTAAATGGTCATTCACATATCAATCGTCGAGCATTAGAATTCTGATAAATGTTCATATTATTGTCATCTTTATCAAATATTCTCTCTAGTATTAAAGACTTTGAGTAAAAGTTTGCGACTACTTATACTTTTTTTGTGGAAGTAAGTAATTTTTATAATTATAGTTGAATTATGTTAATGTTTGATTTTTGTTCAAATTTTGTGTTAAATTAATTCATGACGTGATTTTATGCTATTAATAAATTGTTGGCTAAACTTTTGAAAATTGTGTACAATTTGTTCTAGTTTTTATGATTATTTTGACTAATAATGGATTTTTTTTTATTTTTTTTTCATGTTTATCCATTCTCATATTGAGAAATGCTCATTTTGATCTATATATATGTTCATTCACATACTAATTGATGACAATTTAAACTTTGATAAATGTTCGTTTGGATTGTTATATAAGTACATTCTCATATTGAAAAATATTCACTTGGATTTTAATACACGTTCATTTCATTCTCATATTTAGGAATGCTCATGAGTTTCACTTGGATATTAATACTACATACATGTAATTTTTTTTTTATTGATAATGTTTATTCAAATATTAATACATAAATTCTTCATCCTAGCTTGGATATATGTATATTTATATATTTATATAATGCTCATTTGTAAATTATATGCAATGCCCTATATATTAAATTTATTTAAGACTAATTCACACATGTTAGTGTACATAAGTGCACAAATAAATAAAAAACCGTTTATATTCAATGTTCAATTTAAGATAATTAGATGTTCGTATTTAATAATGATAATGAAGCATATGTAACAATTAGTTAATAAAAATCTAAGAAAAAAAAAATTAACTAATGCTCATTTAAATGTGATACATGTTCATTCTCTTTGCATTACATGGTCATTCTCACAATAAAATATGTTCATTTGCAATCTAAATATCTAAACATATTCATTTAGTTTATACAGGCTAATTCTCATATTAAAAGATATTTATTTCAATTTTTAATACTTGTTTGTTATTATATAAAAAAATGCTCAATTGAATTTTTATATTTGTTTATTCTTGTATTGAAAATGTTCATTTGACTTTTGTTATGTGTTCATTTTTATATTGAAAGATGTTCATATATAATTTACTACTTGTTCATTCTCATATTGAACTATGTTCATTTATGGCAATGTGTTCAAATTAGTTTCGTAAATGTTTATTTAATTATCCTGTTTTGTTTATAGTGTCTTTTGATTGTTACTAACATTTTTCTTTAAAATATTTTGATCTCTTATTACACAGGACAATGAAATAAAGTTGAAGACGATTATGTATATATTGAGAAAAGATACGTATAAAGGAAAACGAACAAACATCATAAAAGTCGAAGGGGTACGACCGTATGACAAGGACGATGATCCTATGTACTCTTTATTTATACCAAATGTATTAATTAAATTAAAAGACAATGATCATTTTGTAAGCACATATATATGATATGTAAATTTTTGAAGTTTATTAAGATTTGCACTTTTTATTTTTATTGTTAATAAAATTAAGCATTTGTACATTTGAAAAGTTAAAAGAGTTTCTTTTTATGCTTAAGAAACAATGAGTATGTATTAATTTAAAATGATATTATAATTGTAATTGAATTAATTTTATTCTACATTGAAAGATATTTTTTTTTTTCAAACTAAGCCTATTAATTTATCTAATTAATAAGACAAATCAATAAGAAAAACTGTCTAAAAATAAAAATGGAAAATACTAACTTGAATATAGCACGTATGATAGATATGGGGTAATGGAAAATACTAATTTGAATATAGTACGTATGATAAAAATGAGATGCAAACAGAGCTAACTACACATAGGTGTAGGTAAAAATTTGTAATTGAAAAATTTTACTTTGGGTTGATGATATAGGCAAAAACTGAAAAACCCAAAAAAATGCAAGCCCAATTCAGCCATTTGGTCCCTCCCCCCCCCCCCCCCCCCCCCCCCCCCCCCCCCCCCCCCCCCAACCCAAAAAAAAAAATCAAAATCCCTTTCTTGGAGAAGAATGAAAGACCTCAACATACAGAGAGGAGAGAGCTACCTTCTTGTGATTCTTCACTACTAGAAATCGCACAAAAATATTAATAAAAAAAATCAATCTTTAGAGGAGAGAGAACGGAGGTAGAAGAAGATGGGATTGACGAATTTTGTAGTGACAGTAGCAGCAGTTGGTGCTGTTATTCTTCTTGCCAAAAGCGACGTTAGACAATCTGCTGCTGTTTTCCGTCGCAATGTTCGTCACATTCGTAATTGGCTTGAAGAAGAATCATCTGCTGCTTCCAAGTATATTACTTTTTTATTCTCTCTCTTTAATTTTTTAGATTATGGGTGTTTGTTATTTTTGCAATATTTGTTGAATAAATTTTTGTCATTTTATGATTTTATTGTTTGATGGGTTTTATTGCTTGTTTGTGACTGCTGTTCGATGAAATTTAGGTTTTGGGTTTCAAGGGTTGATTGTGAATTTGGGTCATTGTTTTGATCATGAGGGTACAAGACGAAGTTGTTTGTGGGTCAATCATGATTTTTGATGATATTTAGCAAAACCCAGATGTTAAATTATATTGTACATATAGTGGGTTATGTTATTCGGATTCTTCGATTACCTGAAGTATAAGTGTGAGTAGATCCTCGACATTTTGACGTGGGTATGGAAACTTCGACCCTTCATATAGGACAATTATTATGGAAATTTTCATGGAGAAGTTGAGTTAGACTCTTGGACATGTACGCATGTCTGATTTGAGTTCCCAAGTCCAAGTAACACAGGCAGTCATGTAACTCAGTGAGGCTAAAGGAAGATCTCAATAGTAGAGAATACAGAATAGAAATTAGGAAGTTTGAGGCAATTTTGTGCAGTTGAGGAGTTTAAAAGGGGTGAGTTTCTGTATATGAGGTAAAGAAAATTGACTATGTTGAAATATGCTACTCCTGTACTCTGTTATAAGTTCAAGGATTTATCGAGGTCTGCTACTTTAGATTTTATTAAGCCACTGAACAAATGAAATGATCAATTTGAGTGGGGTCTTTATACCATGTGGTAGTATAAATGGTTGGCTCAAGAGTTTATTACTTATGAGGTTGTTGTGAATACTGCGGTGAATGTTCCGATGTTGAGCTAATTGTGACAGTATGTGAAAACCAAGCCTTGTGGAACTGAGAATTATAATCAATTAATGAAGAATTATTTTTATATATAGGTCATAGGCTATTGTTGAAGAAGTCAGGGGAAATTTTATCAAGCAAACCTTTGTTGAGGAGTTTAAAATAGTCATCTAAGGTGTGCTTTGTGTAAAAATTGGGAAATGAAACCACTGTGAAGGAGACTATCAAATTGGTGCTCTTTTATAAGTGTAGAATCCTATTGAGTATTAATGTTGAGTCAAAAATTAGAGAATAGGTATTGAGAAATCTTACCAGTTTTGTGCACTATTGTTGAGGAGGCTAAAAGAGGATGAGATCTTGTGTTTGAGTTAATGAGATTTGACTAAGTTGAAATATTCTAACCAATGAAATGAATCGGGTTTAGTCGGGTCTTTATCTCATGTGGTAGTATAGATTGTTGGTTTATTGTCACGGGTCATCTTTCACACCAAGGATGGGCGTCGAATGGGTCACTAGGCAATACGGCATAATCGTGTCTAGGGGGCTTGCCCTTGGTGCCTAGCAGCACACTTTCTGTTATAGAGCTTTATTTTGTTATGGCCTTGTATTTCTAATGAACACCCATTTGACAGTATCACAATAATGAGCCTTTTTTTTTGGAGGGGGAAATGGGCTCTAAATGTACTCAATTTCAGGGGTCCACCATATTTTGGGTCAAGGATCATCATGGAAGTGTTGATTTTCCTAGATGAGGTCCCGAAATATGGGTTTGGGCAGCAAGAAGTTCGGAAAACGCGGGAGAGTTATAGAAGGTTCCAAACATCTCTTGGAGGTTCAAAGAAGATCTTGTACATAGTAGAAGGTTTCTAGGTTCTTCTATGTATGTACATAAGTAGTGTAATGTTCTAGAATGTCCTAGGCTTCTCTTGTACATTCTAGCATATATGTGTGTAGAACCTCCTTGTATGTAGATCCTTTGGAGGTGGGAATACTCTAGATGGCAGTCTAGAACCTTCCATTTGAGGAGGTTAGGAAGAATCTAGAGAAACCTTGTAAGTAGGATGGAGCACTATAAATAGACTCCTACAGAAACCTTGTACATATGAGCCAACACCTTCAAGTTGTATTCTCTCTTCAAGTAATCAAAGAATACTTTGAAAACACTTGTGAACAGTCTTTCTCCTACTTAGCCTACAATCGTAGCACACTTAGCTTGACAAATTCAAGGGAGTCATGGATTACTATAAATAGGCTAAGAAGTAGAAGAGCAAATTAAGTCAAATTGCCCTTATTTATTCACACAAGAACCACTACTTGTAAATTTACAGTTGTTGGATTTTGTTACTTAAGTTTATGATTTTGTGAATGTGATTTGTGCTCTTATACCATTCTTGGTATGTGTTTACCTGATTATATTCTCCCTTGTTTTTAATTGGAAAAATTAACAACAACAAACCAAACTTTGCTCCATTTTCCCAAAATGAACCAAACCTTTAAATCTTCCCAAAATAAACACATATTTGTATTTTTTCTCCCATATTAAACCAAGCAGGTAAGTTGACCTGTTATACCAGGTTGCAATCCACGTGTCGTCTCCTCATTGGTTAATTTTGTTAAAAAAAATTGATAATTTAAATAAATTATTTATTTCATTTTTAAAATTTTGATAATAATAAAAAAAAAACCACCCTTTCTCCACCACTGCCAGCCCCTCCTCCCCTGCCAGCGCCCAACCCGATTTTCCGGCACCGGAAACCACCACCCCTCCTTCTCTCCCACTCACGGCAGCGCAGCCTTCCTCTTTCCCCATTCCCGCTGCCCCCGACACCGCCCCTCCCCCCATTCCCGCTGCCCCCGACACCGCCCCTCCCCCCTTTCCCGCAACTGGAAACGCTACAAAAGTTTAAACGAATTAAACCACATGAAACGACCTCTGACAACGGAGTAGTATTGTTAGCAATGGTGATTGGTGATAGTAGCTATATGATCTCCGACAACGGAGTTTTTCTCGAAGACATGTATGGCGGCGATTGAGGAGGGTTCCGGCGAGTATTTACAGAGGAAATGGGAGACTGGCGCGCTGGAGATTTCGCTTTCAATGATGGTTGGAGGTGGCTGAGAGGAGAGAGATTGGGAGGGAAGAAGAAGAAGGAGTTGGAGAAAGAGGAGATATGGGAGAAGTTTTAGTGGTTTCATGATGGGGGGAAGGGGGGAGGAGGGGCTGGTAGTGGGTGGGGGTCTGAGTTTTTTTTTTTTTTTTTGTTTTTTTTTTAATTTTTTTAAATTTTTTTGTTAATTTAAAAAAGGTAATTAAAGGAAAATAAAAAGTGACCGCTTGTTTAGGTCACAAGTCATTTTGGTTTAATATAGGAGAAAAAAAAATACAAACTTGTGTTTATTTTGGGAAGATTTAAAGGTTGGTCCATTTTGGGAAAATGGAGCAAAAATTGGTTCGTTGTTGTTAAATTTTCCTTTTTTATAAAGTGTATGAAATTTACCTTAGATTTAGACAAGGACAAGAAATTAAGAACTTGTTGGCATCTTCTAAATGGTTGCTTCTGGAGGTAATTTAGACAAGAAAATTAAAAGATTTTTGTCTAATTAAAAAAAAATTAATTAAAATAATTTTGTCTTCTAGAAAATAATTAATTTTTTTTAGTTTTAATCTTCCAATTTTTCCTTCAAGATAATTAAATTTTTTTTTTCTTCCAGATAATTTTCTAAATTATAACAAATCTAAATTTAATTTTAAATTACAACATTTTTTTAAAATTTTTTGTAATTTAATTAATCTTCCAGAAAAAAATTAAAAAAATCAGACAATAAATTTTTTGTCTAAATTAGACAAAAAAAAAATATACAAGATAAAGACAAAATCTGAGACAAAAATTTTCAAGCTGTTTTACTACTACGTTGGTTACCATCGTTGAAACCACTACACAACCAATGTACTTCTGCAGTTTGGCCATCCTTTGTGAAAAACACAAACTGTAATTATCTAAAATCACCAAATATAGAAATGAGCTTTGTTGTCGTTTGTGTACATATTTCAAAATTTACTCAAGAGTTACTAACCTTTTCTCATCCTCTATTGACCTATCACTAGGCATCACAAAAAAGTGCTGAATTAACCAATCCTCTGTCATCCATTGGGCTCATTCGGTGTGGGGTTTATGATTTAATTATTTGGCTATCATATAGAATTGAGTGGATCTATATTGATCTTTGATTTATGTACTATTTCTTTCAGATTGGCAGACTTCTATGCTGGATTATTGCTTTTCTGTGAAATGATATTGGGAAAGCTTCATGTGTGCTTTTATGGTTGTACTTGGCATTTAACATAGTCCAATCATGTCATTGACTCTTGTTAAGATTGTTATTGCTTTGCTCACATATGGTGGTGAATAGGGATGTCAATGGGGCGGGGCGGGGCGGATTGTTGGCCTTTCCATCCCCATCCCCACCTAAAATTTTCTTCCCATCCCCGCCTGGCGCGTACAATTCCAAAATCATCCCCGCCTCACCCCCCACTTGGATATCCACCCCCACCTAATCCCCACCCAAAACCCGCCTAACCCTGCCTTCCTAATACACAATCCTACATAATTAATATAGGTTACAATAAAAAAAATAAATAAAAAAAAAAATCATTGTTAATATTACTCACTTTTTTGTTTATAATATAAATGTATTACAAAGTATTATATTTACTATTTTATTTTACATAATTTTCTTATAAAATAGTATAAAAGTATATAATTTTTTAATATATAGATGTGGATATGGGGTGGGGATGAGGTGGGGATGGGGCGGGTACAGCCTAAAATCCACCTTGCCCCACCACACGCCAAACCGAGACCCATCCCCGCCCTACTGGGGTGAGGATGGGGCGGGTCTCCTACTTGACCCGTCCCACTGACATCCGTACTGGTGAATGAGATTTCTTATACAAAATATTTAATAGAGGTAATTAGGTGTGGGAGACTGGGAGTGGAGATAGACCTCGTAAATTATCAAGCTTAATTCAATTTCGTTCCATTTTTTTCAAATGGCAGGGGCACCAATTCAAAGATATCGAGCTAGACTTGGCCATTAAAAAAGCATATTTCGGGATATGGGAATGAAAATTGTATAACATGTACGATCTACCCCTCTTCTCTAGTCAACTTCATATGGTTGTGTGATAAAAGTGAGGAATTTGCCCTAACTATCACTCTTTATTCTCCTCTTCACTTATGATTAATCTACCTTAGTCACTAGCTGTAGTATGAGATTTTTACGTTTTTTATGTGGACTTTAGATTGTAGGCACACAAGATGAATTCAGATATGTGGAGAAAATTCAATTATATTGTTGCTTGTAATGGGTGGAGGCTTGTAAAGGGGTTAAAAAAACCAATATTTCTATGATGTACTTGTAAGATATGTTAACAAGAGAGTATCTTTGCCCAAATGCATTCATATGGAAGTACTGTCATTTTTTTCAGTTACTTAATCACCAAATCACCAATACAGAAGCTTGTGTTTTTGAGCATTTCAGTTTAATGAGTTTTACTAATTTGCCTCTTTCAGGTCTGCTGAGAAGGCAAAACCCAAAGAGCTGGATAAAGATATTCATAAAAAAGACAAGTAGTCGTTTTTGGCGAATAGTTCAGGCTACGCACGGGTCAACAGAAATATTATGAAGAGAGATAAACAGTAGATTTTGTCATATGTACATGGAAGAGATAATTTTGTGCTTTAGCTCCCATGAACAAGCTAATTCTTACGAGGTTCTTAGGTTCAGCTTGCAGTCGACGTGATGGAGAAGAGTAATGTGGCTTACATAATTCTCATTATGCAGTCTTGTTCTTGTGTGATGGATATGGTTTTGTAAAACATTTTTTGTAGATGGAGATAATAGTTGCATTGTGTGATCGCTTGAATCATTTTGTGATCTTAATAAATTTGATATCTTATAAATGCTTATGATATCTTATAAATACAATTTTGACTAGCAGTTTAATAAAGTTTGGTAAACTCATAACATATTAAGAAATACGAGTAAATAATAACAAAGAAATACAAGGTTCATGGTGCTATGTATTGATTGATTATTGATTTCAAACCATCAAAATTCAGTAGTAAATGGTGTTACTTTATCGTACAATAGTGATGGTATGAAAATAAAATGTGTTTTGCTCATTTGAATTTACAATATCTCAAATGATCAAAAAATTACCGTAAATAAGCACGTGCAACTAACAGTTTGTTTGGGTAATGTTAAGGGAAGGAAAAGAAAGGGAGGGAAGGGAAAGGAAGTGGAAGGAAGAAGGACGATTTTTCCTTTCAAATCTCTCCATTATTGGAGGGATCATTTTCTTAGAATTTAGTCCCTTCATTTTTCTCCCCTTCAATTACCTTCATCTCTAATTTTTTATCCAAATGAAAGAAACTCCCTCCCTCCATTTCTCTTCCATTCCTTTCCCTCCATTTCCTTCAATCCAAGCACACTCTTAAGGTGTCAAAAATAACTCGATCCAATCTAAACAGAGCATACGCAAACCCGAATTAGACCTGATATGACCTAACCTTACTCGACCTAGTGGCCCAAATTGACACCTCTATGATGTATGTACAAAACATTATTTTTTATTTTTTTTTTTAAAATGTACAACCTGTTGAGAAAAAAATACAAATGTGAAAGTTCACATGTGGTATTTAGATCCCAATTATATGCTCTCAATTATATACTCAAAAGTACAATAATGTCTAATATTTTATTGTAAAAATTTTACTATAAATTGAGACTTGATGTAGTAGTAAATACTACGGCATTTTCACCCATCTTCTTTCACTTCTTCTTTACTCCTCCTTTCACTGATCAAAACCTTTTTATCGGTAAATTCTTTTAACACGTTATCAACACCAATTCCTAGTCAGGTATATTTATACCTACTTCTCAAAATTATAACAAATAAATACTATCTACTTCTAAATGTTTTGAGGAGTATGCTCTATAGTTGCCCATATTTTGGGAACCTCTATACCAGAAACTCAAACATTTACTGTATCATGTATCACAAAAAAAAAAAAAAAAAAAAAAAAAAAAAAAAACAGTGAAAAATATACTCTTACTTATGAATTCATTAGCCTTTTTATACTTATTATTTTTCTTTCTTTTACGTACTTTTTGTGTTTCCTTCAATTTTCAAACTCATGATCTTTTATAGATATTAGAGCTCTCGGACCACTATGGCTTGCATTCCCAGTGTGATACCCTTATACAATTATAAATATTTATATTTGGATCATAATTTTGCTAGTACATTAGACTATTATATGATATTTTTACAGTTGTACAGAATAGTAACAGATAAACCTACCTCTATAAAAGGCAGATTTTCCCCTGATTTTCACCACAAATCCCTTATCCTTTCCCATTTTTTTTCTTTATCCAAAAATCACCCAAAATTTTTCACCCCTACTTCTTCGATATGTTCCCCGACGACGGCAACCAAAACACCTACACCTTCACCTTCACCTTTGAGGAAGATTTAAGGAAGATAAAACAATGTTTTCTTCTAATTATGGCGCTTGTAGTTCTGTTAGTAGCAATATTAATTTTTATCATGATGTACAAGTGAAGTTTGTTTATTTTGTCGTATTAGTAGATTAAAATCATGTTTTTGTTTTATTATGTTGTTTTGTTGTTATTAATCATCATTATATAATATTACCATTATTATTATAATTATTTTTACTACTGTTGTTGTCATCGTTTTGCTGTTTATGCAACTAATATGATTTATCTTTGCCTAATTATATAATTACTCACAATAATAAACCAAGGGGGAGAAAAGAACTATATTACTTATAGTTTATTATTGTTAAATAAATCTAATTATCATGTGTTTCATTAACAAACTATAAATATGGAAGAATTAAACATATGTGTTGTACGTATGATTTATAATTATACACTATTTATCACGTAATTTGTTGTAGTTAAAATGGGAGATCTTATGAAAAAACAATTTAGCATCCTAGATTTATCTAAAAAGAAATTTTTGGAATGGAAAGTGAATGCCATGATGAATTTAAAAGCTCAAGGGTTGGAGCACACTGTTAAAGATAATAAAAAGTCACTATGGTCAAACAACTGATGCTACCACTTCTGCAATGACGGTTGTAAAACCTGTAACTGAAAGAGAAAAGGCAAAAGCCTTAGTGTCACTAAGGCATCATTTACATGAAGGCCTTAAAACTGAGTACATGATGGTTGAAGATCCCAAAGAATTATGGGATTGTCTTAATGAAAGATTTGGACACCACAAAAAGTGCTCCTTCCTAAGGCATTATTTGGCTGGACAAATTTACAGTTCCAGGATTTCAAATCTGTAATTGATTACAATTCAACCATACATGAGATAGTATCTATATTGAGATACTGTGACAGCCACCGATGAACAGATGATTGAAAAAACACTCACTACCTTTCATGCAAGCAACATACTGTTGCACGAACAATATCGTGAAAGAGGTTTCAAAAAGTTTAATGAATTAATGAGTGTATTGCTTATTGCAGAACAAAATAGTGATCTTTTGTTGAAAAATCATAATCTTAGACCAACTGGGTCTTTGGCCACTCATCATGAGGCAAATGCAACAAGTTCTTATCCACTCGAGGCTAATGCTACACGAAAAGGTGGACGTGGATATTAAAATGGCCGTGAAAGAGGCCATGAAAATTATCGCGGACGAGGCCGAGGATCAGACGTGGTAGAAATAATTTTCAAAGAAACAGTAATTTCAAAAATTATGAAAAACAGAAGGGACAATCATCTGGAAGCCACAAACAAACTCCTTCAAGAGGAAAAGACACATGTTACAAATGTGGCATGTTTAAGGGACGTACTTGTAGTACGGCCAAACATTTGGTAGACCTTTACCAGACTTCTGTAAAAGGCAAAGAGAAAAATGAATAAGCAAATTATGTTAATGAAGAAAATGCTCCATATCCTACCCTTGATGTGTTCGATTTCTTCATGGACAATGCTGAAATTGGAAATGATTTCATCTTTGGAGAAAATAACAATGCTTAGATAACCCATCTACTAATGTAATATATACTATGTTTTGATGTATTTTCTGTTATGTACTGTATTTTAAATATCTAGTCAGTGTATTTTTAATTTCTATAATCAATAAAAGGTTTGTATGATATTATTCTAAACTATTCTCATATTTATGGAGATATGGATATGCCTGAAGTTGGTTCCGGATATCAGTGCCTTTTGGACAGTGGAACAACACACACTATCTTCAAGGATAGGAAATATTTTTCACAACTAAAGTTGTTTCAAGCAAATGTAAACACTATTTCTAGGTCAGTAAAATTAATTGAAGGATTTGGAAAGGCTTGTATAATGCTTCCAAATGGAACAAAATTGATGATCATTAATGCTTTATAATCGAGTAAATCTCGAAGAAATCTCATAAGCTTTAAAGATGTACGCTAAAATGGCTATCATTTAGAAACAATGACAACAGGTCAAAAGGAGTATTTATGCCTCACGGCAGGAAAACATGGCAAGAAACACATTTCTGAGAAATTGCCAGCATATTCTTCGGGGTTATATCGTATAAACATATGACCTGTGGAAACCAATATGATATTTAACCAGAAGTTGGATGACAAACATTTGATTATTTTATGACATGATCGTTTGGGACATTCAGCAACTGGGATGATGCAAAGAATAATAGCGAATTCAGTTGGACATTCAATAAGAAATGTCAAAATTCCTCGATCAAATGGATTAACATGCTCTGCATGTTCACTCGGCAAATTAATAATAAGGCCATCTATGAACAAAATTGCTACTGAATCCCCAAAATTCTTGGAAAGAATTCAGGGAGATATTTGTGGGCCAATTAATCCGGCATGTGGACCATTTCGATATTTCATGGTTTTAATTGATGCTTCTACACGATGGTCACATGTCAGTCTGCTTTCAAATAGGAATGTTGCCTTTGCAAAATTACTTGCCTAAATTATCAAATTAAGAGCACAATTTTCAGATCATACAATAAAGAAAATAAGACTCGGCAATGATGGGGAATTTACATCCCAAACATTTAATGATTATTGTATGTCAATCGGAATTGATGTTGAACACCCAATAGCTCATGTTCATACACAAAATGGTCTAGCTGAATCACTAATTAAGAGATTACAATTAATTGCAAGACCATTATTAATGAGATCAAAATTGCAATCATCTGCTTGGGAACATGCTATAATACATGCAGTAGCACTAATTAAATTGAGACCTACAGCTTATCATAAATTCTCATCGCTACAACTTGTTTGTGGTAGAGAACCAAGTATCTCACATCTAAAAATATTTGGTTGTGCTGTATATGTTCCTATTGCTCCACCCCAACGAATAAAATGGGTCCACAAAGAAGGCTGGGAAGTTATGTCGGGTTTGAATCTCCCTCTATAATTAAATATCTTGAACCATTGACTGGTGACTTATTTACGGCTAGATTTGCTGACTGTTAATTTAATGAAGTAGTATTTTCAGCCTTAGGGGGAGAGAAAGTGGACCCACGCAAGAAAGAAATAGAACTTATTTGGAATGCAACACAACTTTTGATGTTAGACCCCACGAACAAATATGTGTGAACAAGAAGTCAAGAAAATTGTTCAGTTGCAAAGTGTTGCAAATCAATTGCCTGATGCATTTGTAGACACAAAGAAGGTGACAAAATCACATATACCAGCAGAAATTGCCCCTGCACGTATTGAAATCCCAACTAATAATAAGGCCATTGAGAATAAATCTCAAGCATGCAGAAAGCGTGGGAGACCACTTGGTTCAAAAGATTCTAATCCAAGGAAATTGAAAAGATTGGATGGAATAGAAAATGAGACTAATGATGTTCCCCCGTTAAAAGGTCAAGAAAGACCAAATATGGATGAAAGTAAAGAAAATGATGATAATCCAAAAGGGGACAAACAAAACAATCCTACGGGGAATGAACAAGATGTTCAAAACATCAATAACAATGAAATTTCAATGAATTACATCTCTACCAAGACTCGGTGGAATAGGAAAGATGTTATCGTGGATGAAATATTCACAAAGTCCATCGCAATCGACATTGTGTCTGATGAAAATGATGTTGAACCAAGAATAGTGGAAGAATGTCGACACAGGAGTGATTGACCAAAGTGGGAGGAGGCAATGCTGGCTGAGTTGAAGTCACTTGAAAAACGAGAAGTTTTCGGAAAAATAACTTTTACACCAGTAGGTGTAAAACCCGTTGGATACAAATGGGTATCTGTGAGAAAACGTAATGAGAAAAATGAGATAGTTAGATACAAGGCAAGGCTTGTAGCCCAAGGATTTTCTCAAATTTCAGGGATTGATTATGAAGAAACATATTCTCCAGTAGTTGATGCAACTACATTAAGATTTCTGGTAAGTTTGACAGTCACAAAAGGACTGCAAATGCGATTAATGGATGTAGTGATTGCGTATTTGTATGGGTCACTCGATATAGATATTTACATGAAAGTCCCCGAAGGACTAAAACTACCAAAAAACGACAAGCCTAGACAATTACTTTCCATAAAACTAAAAAGGTCACTTTATGGATTGAAACAATCTGGAAGGATGTGGTATAATCGTCTCAGTGAATACCTTGTGAGAGAAGGGTTCAAGAACAACCAAATTAGTCCCTGTGTTTTCATAAAGCGATCACAATCAGGATTCGCTATTATTGCAGTTTATGTTAATGATTTGAATATCATCGAAACCCCAAATGAACTTGAGAAAACTGCAAAATACTTGATGAAAGAATTTGAGATGAAAGACCTTGGAAAAACTAAATTTTGCCTTGGATTGCAAATTGAGCACTTGAGTCTTGGTATTTTTGTCCATCAATCAACTATACAAAAAGAGTTTTGGAAAGATTCCTCATGGACAAAGTAACTCCAATCAACTTCTCAATGGTTGTTCGTTCTTTGAGTATGAAAAACAATCCATTCAGACCACGAGAAGAAAATGAAAAAATTCTTGGTCCAGAAGTACCATACTTAAGTGCAATTGGAGCCTTAATGTACTTAGCTAACAACACTAGACCTGACATAACTTTCTCTGTGAACTTGTTAGCCAGGCACAACAATGCACCAACATATAGGCATTGGAAGGGAGTCCGACACCAACTCTGATATCTACGAGGGACACAAGACCTTGGTCTATATTATCTACCGAAACAAGATGCTTCCCTCATTGGGTATGCCGACGTTAGATATTTATTTGATCAAAATGCCAATTCAAGTCACAAAATGGATATCTGTTCACTTATGGCAGCACTGCAATTTCATGGAAATCAACAAAGCAGACATTGACTGCGACATCCTCAAATCATGCAGAGTTGATAACCCATTCTGAAGCAGGACGAGAATGTGTATGGCTGAGGTCGATGATTAGTGATATCCAAGAAGAGTGTGGAATGAAAGCAATAACAGAAAATACAACCACCATCTTTGAAGACAATACAACATGCATATCGCAAGTAACTGAAGGATATATTAAGGGAGATATGACAAAACATATATATCCCTAAAACAATTCTTCACACATGATCTGCAAAAGGATGAGGAAATAGATATCCAGCAAATTCAGTCTTGTGACAACCTTGCCGACCTGTTCACCAAATCACTTCCTTCTAAGAAATTTGAGCTATTAGTTCACAAAATTGGAATGCGACATCTTCGTGAACTATGCTGAAATCAGGGGGAGCATTATATGCATTGCACTTTTTTTTCTTTCGATCAGGATTTTATCCCACTGGGGTTTTTCCTGACAAGGTTTTTAACGAGGCAGTATACCAAAGCATATAATACAATAATATCATTGTACTCCTTTTCCCTAGTTATGATTTTTATCCCATAGGGTTTTTACCTAACAAGGGTTTTAATAAGGCAACTCACACCCCATTTCATGTGAACATTCAAGGGGGAGTGTTGAGAAAAAATACAAATGTGAAAGTTCACATGTGGTATTTAGATCAATTATATGCTCTCAATTATATACTCAAAAGTACAATAATGTGTAATATTTTATTGTAAAATTTTTACTATAAATTGAGACTTGATGTAGTAGTAAATACTATTGCATTTTCACCCATCTTCTTTCACTTCTTCTTTACTCCTCCTTTCACTAATCAAAACCTTTCTATCATTAAATTCTTTTAACACAACCAATATATTTTTTTTTGATACGATAAAAATGATGAAATACGAAATGAATACCCCGCCAGATATGTATTTTAATTCTTAAACCTCCACAAAACCCAAGCCTTATCCAACCTTCTTCCTCACTCACAGCTCTCCAGCAATGTCGCACATCTTATCCTCCAAATTCCTCCCTTTCAATCCAATACTCCATTATTCTCCTCACTTTCTCTCTCCTCCTCCATTGAAGCCACTCAACTCCATCATCGTATCGGCGGTTTCATCGCCGGAGCGGAAGTCCCGGCGCCGGCGACAGCCAAAGGGGGATGACTCTTCGACGGCGTTATCGGGGACGGAGAAGAGTTTAAGGCTAGTATTTATGGAAGAGCTGATGACTAAGGCTAGAAATCGAGATGCAACTGGAGTTTCTGATGTTATTTATGATATGATTGTTGCTGGTCTTAGTCCTGGACCTAGGTCTTACCATGGCTTGGTTGTTGCTCATGTTCTTAATGTTGATGAAGAAGGCGCTGTAATTTTCTTTCCTCTCTCTCTTCTATCTTTATATCTATCTGAATTTTGAAAGAAAAATTCTAAATTTTAGTTTGATGTGTGTTTGCAACCCTTTATTGTTATGATCATAATTGTCATAAATCTATTGCTACATTTTTGTATTATTGTTTAGTCTTTTCGTCCCACTTTAATACGCCACAATTTCTTAGAGCCTTAGAGGTCATTCCAAGGAATTGACACGAATTATGATGATTTACTTTGGGTTATTATGTAATGTTTTATTATGATACTAGTATATACTACACATCAAATCCTTAATGTCAATTTGTTTGGCTGGTGGTAATAAATGGTGGCAAAGAGGATGCAAGTATGCAAACCCATCCCCAAACTTTCGAGTCTTTCTTCGCAAATTTTCGTGACCTCCCAAAACCATCCTCCAAGCTGTATTAGATGGTAATGAAAATTAATGAAGAAAAAGACACTTTAGTGACTTGGGGTGAACAGTGAACTATACCATGAGAATAAATTCATTCCATAACGCCATTTTTTTTTAACTCCATCCTAATGGACTGTTAATGATAACATGGGAAAATTCATAATTTAAGTTGTTAGATAAAATGAGCCTAGTAATTTGGGACACCCCAAAATAGAAATGTCGCTGATTAAAATAAAGTATGTTAATAATTTTGTTTAAAATTATTTATTACCGTTGAATTATTGGGTTCTATTGGTGTTCATTGATGAGTCGAGGGTTGGCATGGATGTAGATGCAATCACTGAGAAGAGAGCTGAGTGTGGGGCTAACTCCTCTCCACGAGACACTTGTAGCATTGGTTCGTTTGTTTGGGTCGAAAGGCCATGCTTCCAGAGGCTTAGAAATCCTTGCGGCAATGGAGAAGTTAAATTATGACATCCGGAAAGCTTGGTTGGTTCTTGTTGGTATAATGTTATTAGCATAGTTTTTGGTGGCATTTTGTTGATTTTTCTTTTGATCTATCCATAGTGAGTCAAAAATTTGTTTTCAGAGGAGCTGGTTAGAAGCAATCATTTGGAAGATGCCAACAAGGTGTTTCTAAAGGGCGCTGAAGGTGGATCGAGGGCTACTGATGAGATTTACGATCTCATGATTGAGGAAGACTGTAAAGCTGGGGATCACTCCAATGCCTTGACTATTGCTTATGAAATGGAGGCAGCTGGCCGGATGGCTACAACTTTCCACTTTAACTGCCTTTTGAGTGTTCAGGTGTGAATTTTCATTTGCTTTTGCTTCTCTTTACTTATTATATATGAGCTTAGTTGATTAAAAGTATGTCAAGGAATGTAAGTTTCAAATTACATCTTTTGTGGTCTAGTTGCCTGCTAAATTTTTTATTGGATGTAACCCTCAACAGTACTCAATCTTAAGCATGGGTTGTAAAATGTAGGCAAATTGTGGAATACCTGAAGTGGCGTTTGCAACATTTGAGAACATGGAATTTGGAGAAGGTATGCCATTATCTTTCCACTGACTCTATGGTGTGTTGTTTTGCAACCTATGTATTTTGATGTTTGCAATAAAGGGTTTTAGTCCTTGTTTTATTTTTAGAATTTAAAGTACATTCTTCACCTCCACAAGAAGCTAGCATGCTATGCAAGATTAATACAGCATTTGAATTCTGTGTCAACCTCACACAAATATATGTTCACATGTCATAGACAAAGAAAAAGAAAAATGGTCTACCATTGAATAGAAAGAAACGAGAAACCAAAAGCCTAAAACACAGCTTGGAGAGTAGGGGAATCATCACTCACACTAGAGAATTGGAATCATACGGTGGTTCTTTGAGGATGCAAAGACAAGTTTACAAAGTGCCAAAACTATGAAACAATTGAACAAGATAGTAGAATAATACTTGTATTCAATAAGACCAAGCTACATACTGGCCTGACAACTTGTAAACAATGAATCAGCTATGCTGGCAAGTGAGAAGTGACAACATAATGACTAACCTTGCCTAGCATGTACCCAATGCACTGCTAATACATCCCATCTCCCATAAATGAAAGAAAGCTCATGACCACCAATTTTTATATAAACCTGCAGAATTTGTATCGGTAGTTCTAACACTAGACTGAGCTCATGGATGCTATATTTATAATTGCATCTAACTGTCTATATACCGTGGTTTCAGATCTTACTTCTTAACTTTTGCTTGCCAGATTATATGAAACCTGATGCAGAGACATATAATTGGGTGATCCAGGCATATACAAGAGCTGAATCCTATGATAGGTGAGTAATTCCATTATGATTTTTATCCATGTATGGGTCTATCAACTATTTATGACTCTGCTGTGTTTGCCTCAATTACTTCCTTCTATGTATGACTCTACTGTGTTTGCTGCAATTACTTTCTTCTTCCTTTTTCAATGGTTTATTTTACATTTTTTTCACCTTTTTTTTTTAAGCTTAGCTGTAGTAAAGCTTCTTTATACAATACTTGTCGAAGACTTGTTTCTGTTAGTAGATGAAGTATCTAGCTGGAGTTCTTGCACTTGAGTTTAAGGGCTTTACCCTCAAGACTCACCTTGTTGCTTGGAATCTCCTTGTTTTCCGTTTAATGGATTTTTTTTTTTCTTCTTAAAAATATTCAATTTGAATCTAATTCACCTTCCATAAGGATGACAACCATGGTGTTGTTTCAAATATGTGTAACTTTATTTACTTTTTTGGAGGAAAAAATAACTGTATTTGGCACTACCAACAGTCCAACATTATCAACACCAGATTGGTACTAGAACTTTATTTTTAAGGGGGTGGGGGATGAAAAAAGTCTCAATTATTAATAGAAACATTAAACAATTTTACTTTTTTTTTTTTTTTAAAAAAAAATGTTTTATTTATTTATTTATTTTTTTTTTTTTGGGGGGGGGGGGTGGATGATGTACAAACTATATATCTTAAATTGGTTTGGAGGGGTCAGTTATGCAGTCAACCCCGTATATGCACAGAGGCTTTATTTTCATAGCCATTGTATTGTCCTTTCTCTTGTGTTTCTTTAGGCTAAATAGCCTTCCTCCGTCCACCCCATCTCCAACTCCAACAGGATAAAAACAATAAAAATCGAGTCCTACACGCCAGCTCATATCCTAGTTTCATACCTTAATGTGCTGTACATAACCAATTGAAAAGCGAGGCTATAAATTGTATGGAGTTTAAACATGTTAAAGCTTAAAGGTACTACCAAATATGTTGGGTAGCCAAAGTCGTTTGGATTTCGGAAGTTCCAAATATTGAATTGTATGGTTATTCATTAGTTTCTACTTTTTTTATTTCCCTTGATATATTTGCCACTTTTTCTTGATGGGTCTATGGATCTGAATTCTTAATATCTTTTTATTTTTTGGATAGGAATTCTTAATATCTTAGTCGCTATTTACTTTAGCTTTAGCAGATATGATGTTGTGCTTCCTTTTTTTGAAAATTGATAGTATACTCTTTTCCTGTTCTTTTGTTTCATGATTACTTCGACTGTAAAAATTATTGAGTATTTTATGTTTGTGCTTTTGAGCCATTCAGCAGTGTTAATTCCATATGCCTTTTGTTTCTGTTAAATTAGGGTTCAGGATGTGGCTGAGCTGCTTGGCTTGATGGTTGAAGATTATAAAAGAATACAACCAAATGTGAGAACATATGCGTAAGTATCTTTAATTTGATTTGCGTAGTTATGAGGATTGTTGAATGCGTGTCCCTTTTTTATTAGATAAAATTGAGTTTTGTAGCATTAGACCAGGCATATAGCAGTCTGGCGTTCCATCTTATTTTTGTGGAAGAGCATGCTAATTCTTAGACATTAGTTTACAGGATAGATCTTTACATATTGAGAATTTTTTACACTGCATCTTGGCTAATCTTTTTATCTGTAGGATTTTAAGCTTGCAATTTGGAATTAGATAACCAACAACACTTGCTTTCTAATCCAAGTTACCTTTTTTGTCAAATTTCTCGTAACATTTTTTGTCAAATTTCTCGTAACATTAAACATGTAAATGTCTTCAGGT